TAACTTTCCTTTGGAGGCTTAAATACCATGGCCCCAAACACAACATAATGCCTCTATTTTTCTATTTCAATCAAGAATTCAAGTGGCATCTTGACTCATATATAACATACGAGCAGCGAAATCATACAATACTGACATCCTTAATAATAGCAATTAGTAATCAGTTGTTCCTTAAGTAGTTTGATTACGCCAGTTACCAAATTATACAGCTGATGCATTTGGGGGTGAGCTGTGTTTCTGTGCCCCGCCCCCAGCTGCCTTTTCTCCCCTAGGTATTCTTGGTGGTGAGTGAGCCCACGGAGATGGAAAAGTGGCAAAGACAAATAACCGCCCTGAAGCTGCCTCAGAGCAGAGGCTCGGCTTAGGAAGATTCAAGGTTTCTTTTTGGAAAAATGAATCAGAGTGGTGTCCAAGGCAGGGCGGGCTGTGCACAGGCGCAAGCAGAGGGTCTGTGCCAGGCACCACCGGGCACTGGGCCCCGAGTCTCTGAGCCCTGCTCAAGGCTCTGCATAGAAACAAGGGGTAGGAATATCTGTTGAGTATCTAAGAACCAGTCCAGGCGCCTTGCAGTGGACCCAGCACAGCATGGACATCGTCTGAGTGTGACCTGCACAGGTTCACTGCTGGCATCTCAGCGCGCAGTGTGGCCATGTTGCAAGGTGGAAGCACCTGTAAGAGGTGGGGTCTGGCACAAGGTCATCAGGTCTGGCACAAGGTCATTGGGTCTGGCACAAGGTCATCAGGTCTGGGGGGTCCTGCCCCCGAAGGGGTTAGTGTGGGTCTCCTGGGACAGAGTCGAATCTTGTGAGACAGGTGCTTGTAAGAGAGCAAGCCTGGCCCTCTTGTCTCCCCTCCTGATCCCTGCCTCCTCCTTGAGCTCCAGCCGGGATGCCATTGGCAGGCTGTTTCACAGCCCAAGGTGGGACAGGTAGGGCTCAGCTTCCAGCCTGTGGGTGGCATAGACCTCTTTTCTTTATAAATCACCCAGCTGTGGGCATTTTGGTGACAGCAGCAGAGAATGGCTGAAGCTATGACTTCAGTGACACATGAAGACTAAGGTCACTACAGTCCCGAGGAGGGTAGAGGTATGAGCACTGCCTAGGCCCACCAGGATGAGCTTCCCAGATACATGACCTGCCCCGAGGGGTCTGGAGGCGGTGGCAGGTGGCACAGGAGAGCAGCGGATGCCTCGTCCTCTGGGGTGGGGAAGCCGGTCATGCTTGTGCTGGGACCTCAGTCTCCTTCTACAGCTGGGCTCCAGCCCTAGTGAGAGGCTGAGCCTGGCCTGAGGACGGGCACAGGCCAGCATCCAGGCCGGGTCTCCAGGTCCTGCACAGAGGGGAGCCAAGAAGCATGGTGGCTCTTGGTATGCAAGCAGAGCGCACACTAGACGTTCCCACCTGTCCCATGGCCTAGTGGGCATCCTGAGCCCTTCCTTGGGGACAGCTGTGTCCTTGCCAGGCACGGGTGCATCCTCCTCCTCTCCACCCCCTGCCTACTGGGTGGGTGTGCCTCCCTTGTGTCTGCTGGGTGGGGCTGGGCTTCCCAGTTTTGCGCCCACATCAAAGGGGCAGATGTGTATCGGGTGCCTCTCTTCTTTATGTTTATTTTTTATTTTTCGAGGCTGATGAGAACACAGCAAAACACATTATCACCTTCTGTGCCATTTGGTGTGAGTAATAGGCTCAAGGGCGATGAGCGTGTGATTGTATGGCTAGCACGAGGCTGCCGCGTGACCGTTTTAACAAGCAGAGAGCGGCTGCTCGCCTCCCTAGCTTTGCACATTGCCGCCTTTCAAGCAGTCTCTCTCACCCAGGCTTGTCCTTTGCAGGCAAAGCCCTTCTCTCTCCTTCCCTCAAGACGCTTTCCCAGCAGGACACCGGTGCCTCTGCTCTCCACCTGGTGCCCTCTCCCAGCCCCCTTTCTGGCCTGCTATCTACACCTTCACTCTCCTCCTCCCAAGGACCAGAACCCACTGCAGGGCATGTTCCCAGTGCGGCACCTTCAAGGCCGCTGCCACACACTCCCATGAATGTAACCATTCCGAGGACCCCATGTGAACCTGCAGGCCCCAATGGCTCTGCCCATCGGGGTGCCCTCCAAGAGCTTGCACTCACACTGACCTTGGCAAAGGGACTGTTTCTACCCCACACAGGACAAAGCCCACATCTGTGGGGGCAATGACCACACTCACGGGGAGCTGGGCATCAGAGGCACACGAGGAGGAGGAGACCTCAACAGAGATCTCAGGCGGCAGAATCCAAACACCAGTTCCCTGGGTCAGCAACAAAGGTGAGGCTGAAGTTCATGTTGGATACAAAACCTTGCCAAAGGTGACTGCAGCCTTCGTGTCCTCTTCGTTAGGCCACGTGGAGCCTCCAGCGTGCCTGTGTGCTTGTCTTGGGGTGCAGGACCGGCAGGGAGCGGGTAAGCTCATTCTCTCTGCAGCTTTGCTCAGGGAGCCTGGGCCCTGTGGGAAGTGCTCGTCCAGTCCACGCCCTGCTCAGTAAGGCCAGGTGCCGGCCCAGGAAGCACCCTTCTTGTGCTCACACAGCTTGCTGTCCCTCTGACTCTGAGTCCGCAGTTGTGAGAGAGTCGCATTCCCCGCTCCCCAGGTACCCGGTCTCATTCCTCTGCAGAATGGCTCCTCGTTACCTTTCCAAACTAAGGGTAAAAGCGCTATGTCTGGAATTCACAGCGCACACCACACAGTCCACCCTCACACGGGCCACCGGTGCGTGTACCTTGGGGACCTGACTGCTGTGCACAGCGCAGCCACCCTGTGTCCTTCAGGGCCCAAGACTGGCATCATGGGGCCACATCTGGCCACCTAGAAAGCAGCTGGACAAATACATCACAAGTTGGGGAAAACATTTTTTGCCAACATAACCAAGAGGTTATACCTAGGTGACGTGAAAATGTCCTACCCAAGACTAATGGCTTCAGTGACAGTGGAGATGCTGCTCCCAGTCCCTACAGATGCATCATGCAGGAAGAAGGGTACAAGGAAAACCAAGCTCCTTCATGACAGCCAGAAGGGAGAAGGCAGACGAGCAGGAGGTAAAGGAACGTGGAGCAACCAGACACATAGGCTCATGCCCAGCGAAGCTCAGGGCCGCAAGCTGCAGCCACGAGCACTTCCCGGTCAGCGGGAAGAGAAGTCCATTTTCAGAGTAGTCTGGAAGCATCTTGGCTCCTGAATGCTTCTGTCTGTGTACAACTCAGCATGTGAACAGAAGCGTTGGGCAAAATTTTGCTTCTGTTTGCAAATTCTGCTTTGGGTGATAAATGTGACTGCTGTCATCCTTCTTGGAGCCGTGGAGTGAATTAAGTTCATGAACTGAGGCAGCACTGTACGAGCCAAGAAAATTTTATACTCTTATCCAATAAAAAACTGCTCCTAGGAATCTGCTCTAAAGATAAGCTCCAGACCAAAAAAACAAAACAAAACAAAAAAAACAAAAACAAAAACAAAAAAAACCAAAAAACCCAAAAGCCAAAAACCAAAAAACAACAAAAACAAACAAACAAACAAACAAACAAACAAAAAACCGCTACTGGAGAGCTAACAAAGATGTGAGTCACTGCATGAGTCACAGTAACACAGGGTCAACAGAGATTCTTTTCCCACAAACCTTCAGCATAAGGATTTTTTGACCAATCACTTTTGCAGGTGATCGCATTCAGGAATCCCAGTAGCAATATCAAAAAGTGTTTGGAGTCTCAAGAGAGAGCAAAAAGCAGTACTATGATTTGGTTATGAGCAGGTGAGATTTGCACGCACTGACAGACAGGCATGGGAACGCCACAGCCGCGTGTGCTGGGATGGTGGCGCAGAGGGTCCATTTTCCTCTTCTTTTTTGTTGGTTTGACTTGTTGCTTAACAGTACACACATACCCACAGTGTGCTCAGTGTGCAGCGCATGTGGGTGTGTGTGTACACAAGCACACGTGCGTGGAAGTTACCGGAACCACAGTGGCATCCCTTGTGTCCAACCCTCCCAAGCATTAAAGAAAGCTGCCAGGTTCTGAGGAGGCAGTCTCCTGTGTATGCTGGATCTGTCCCCAGTGCCTCTGCAGACCCACAGCATTGTGTGAAAACCAGCGCAGCCCTACACAGGAAATGCTCCTGGGGCCATCTGCCCAGCAACTGCCTGTCCTACCTGGGCCAAGGCCACCATAGTTACTGGTTCCACGATGAAGGTTGGCATTTCAAAGTACCCGAGTCATCCTTCCATTGCCTTCCAGCCTTCCCTGCCTCACCCACCTGAGCCCGCTTACGGTGACCCTGGCCCTGGCCTTCCCTCTGTAGTGTTGGTGCCCAGGTATGATCCTCAGGCTCGGAGGGTCTCTCTTCATGTATTGCTGAGGCCAACATAAATGAGATGTGATAAAAATATGGGGAGTCTTTAAATTAAAGAATGTATTACAGCAAAAGGCATTGCTGTGAATTTCCCCAAATCCTGCTCTTTGCTTTGAGCGTACCAGGCCACCCTTCTGGTCACCTTCGGAGCAGTCCTGCAAATCCTCTTTCATGATGAGGCATGATCAAAAGCCCAGTGACTGCTGCTGCCAGAGCCACCCAGTAGGAGGACAGGCTCCCGAAAGCATCACAGCGTGTCCCCTTCCACCTTATCCACTGGGCCTGGTGCCCCGTGGCTCCTGGCTGTCCCCAAGTCAAAGTGACCATGGAAGGTCAGCGTTTTGAGTGGATCAGGACATCAAGGCAGCCAGGCCAGCACCCCTGAAGACACTCAGGAAATAGGACCCCAGAGCTGCTGCAGAAATGGCAAGAGTGAAGAGAGGAGAGTGTTCAGAGTGCAGGGGTGTCCTGAGGGGAGTTCCTAGCAGTGTGTCTTCCATCTGAATGAAATGAAAGGATACGAGCCCTCACTGTCTATTTGGACCCACTTTGTCTATGTGTTTAATACCCAGCGTTGGCCTTTTCACCACTGGTCAGTTTTTAGTATCCATCCCTCCACTTCCCCCCATTCCGTTACCTAGCAGGGCGCCCGGGGGCAGTTGGGCCGAGGGCTCCTTCATCCAGTCGTCATTGGCCAGCTCGATCACAGCGTCCACGGGGGCCACTTCAGTGCAGATCATGTCCCTCACCGCCTCCTCGTTCTGTGTGGCCAGGGCCGACTTCAGTCTCCTCACCAGGTCGGAGTGGAGCGGGTAATCGGGCAGGGCGTCTGCACTGGACATGGGGACGCCTGTGTGTCCACCACAGCCTCTTCTCCTCTGGTTCCAGTCCAAAGTTAGCCACTGTCCCCAGGGCAGTTGGGTGGCTGTGAACAGCAGAACCCGGCTCCAGTTACAATCAGCAGGGAGGGCTGGGGAAAGGGGCAGAGGGGCTATCTGTGGAGGAGGTGGGAAGGCATGGGGGTTGCTGCAGCACAGTGGAGGGCGAAGGGAAGGCGCCGGTAGTGAAGGGTGTCTGTTTGGGCAGGAGGGAGGCTCTAGCTGGAAACTTCAGCAGCTTCTCCTTAGGCCTGGGCTTGGTGACACCTCTGCCCTGGTGACAGAGCCAGCTCCGGCTGCCTGCACTGCAGGCCCCACCTTTTAAAAGGACAGCCCAGAGAGAAGCCAGTGCAGGACTCCAGCTTCCCTGAGGGCAGAGGAGGGGAATCTGGCTCTGAGCCATGGAGCTGGCCCAGGACAACAGAGGGAGCTCCAGGGGGACCTCAGGGTTCACAGGGGTGGGGGTGGGGAGCTGCCCAGGGAGAGCAAGGCTTGGAGAGGAGCAAGCCCAGACTGGGCGCAGGGTCTCTCCTCCCTCAGGATCCCATCTCCAGCTTTCTTGCCCCCACCCCCACCCCAGGCCACCAGGGCACAAGGCAGCTGCCACCTCAGCTTCCCTGTGGAGTCCAAGCAGGCAGTGTTCTCTGAGGGGCCAGGAGCCCCGCGCAGTTCATGGCACTCCTCCCCTGTGCATTCATCTTGCTCCGTGCCTTGTTCTCTCTTCTCTCCTTAGAAGTCACTGTACAGTGCCCGGATGCACATTTCTGAGAAGAAGATGTTGGGTGAGGTTAGTGCTTCTCTCAGTGGGCTCGGAGTCAGGGTAAACTGGCTGGTCCTCCAGTTGGCTGAAGGTGAGAAGGGCCTGGAGCCGGAGTGCACCCACCGGGAAGGGATGTAACTGGCAGCGGCCTTCGGACACTAACCGCAGCCTGGTTCGGATAACTCAGGAACTGGAATGTAACTAGCTCAAATTATATGTATGGCAACATAAATTTCTTTACTTCAGTATGAGATGTTCTGATCTCTATGTCTTGAAAGCCCTGCAGAGCTGGGGTTTTGCAGTCTGGGGTTCTCTCCTTCCACCTCCTGCTGGTTCTGCCTCTGCAGGCAGAGTCCTGTCTGATTGGCCCCCTCCTCTCCTCAGCACCTGTGTGTGGGCTGTCCAGCTCTGTTCCGTCTGCCTTAGGTGCAGACACTGCAGAGTCTGCTCAACTCCAACTCTCTTTCTCCACACCCACAAAGCTGTGGGGATGTCTCCATCTCCTGTGCTGAAAAATGTTGGCTTAAATCAGTAATATCAGCCCAGGTCTGGTCTGAGGAAGCCCCTGTGGTGAATCTGAAGTCACTGACTGTCCTGAGTCACAGGGACTGAAGAAGCTGCTACCTCCTTTGCCCTTTCTTCTTTCTTGGAACATAGGCACGATGCCTGGAGCTGTGGCAGTCCCTTTGCAGCCATGCGGCAATACCCAGAGGAATGATCAACGCACTGTGCAGAGCAGAGCGGGAGGAGGGCAAGTGTTCTGCTCCCAGGGATGTTCTGAGCCTTCCCCCACTGACCCGGATTTCTTGTCTTTACTTCTTGAGGACTGTCTGTAGAGAGTTCTTGACTCTGCTTCTTTCTTGGGCAAAAGAATTAGGGTTTTGAAAGATGTTTTTGAGCTTGAGTTTCCAAATGCAAATGTTCTGCAGCATTGGATGGTTCAGGTTTTGGGGAAAATTCAGCACATTTGTGTGAACACAGAGAGAAGGTGGGTAGTGACCACAGGAAAATAAGCAGAGCTGGGCAAAGCAAAGGAAGGAAAGAAAACAAGCCTGAGTGGCGAGCTAGCGAACTTCGGATCAGAAGGGAGGCGAAGATGAAGCACTTGTTAGGCAGATAATAAGGTGACAAAGCCTCAAAATATGGCACTTGCTGATCGCAATTAGGAGCTATCTGTTGGGTGTTTAATCAGCGGCGCACACACTATGCTAATTATTCGGGCTAATTTTGTTATAATGCAATTCTTTATCAACCCTGCTATGTATAAATTAGGAATTGGAATGGAACTAACACAAATTACGTTTATGGCAACGTGAATTTCTTTATTTCAGCATGAAATCTTCTAACCTCTATTACTTTCTCTTTCTTTTTGGAATTAGCTACAGAGCACCCCACCCGCAGGTCC